GCAATGTTCCGTTAGGAATAGTCATCGACGGGTTTTTTTTCAATTCATATATGTGTGTCTGATATAATCAAGACCAGAGGGAATTTTTCAGTTTTTTTTTTTTTTTTTTTTTTTTTATATATCAAAGACAAGGTGCTATCCGCACAAATCAAGGCTGATGGGAATTTTTCATCTTCATATTTGTACCAAATAAAAATGCCGTCTGGAATAGACAGGCTGGGGTTAGGGAATTTTCTCAACTTCCTCTTTGTACCAAATACACGGTGCTGTCTGGAATAGTTATGACGGGTGGGGATGTTTCAACCTTATTTTAATACCAAATACAAGCACTGTCGCGAATAGTTAGGTCGGTGGGGATTTTTCAACTTCATATTTTGTTCCAAATATAAGGTTCTGTCTGGAAAATTCAGGCCGGTGGGGATTTTTCAATTTCATCTTTTGTACCAAATATAAGGTTCTGTCTGGAAAATTCAGGCCGGTGGGGATTTTTCAACTTCATCTTTTGTACCAAATATAAGGTGCCGTCTGGAATAGTCAGCCTGGTAGCAATTTTCTCAACTTTCTTTGTTGTACCAAATACAAGTGCTGACTAGAATAACAGTGGAACAACAATATCATTTGTACAAAATACACGTGCCCTCTGGAACAGTTATGCTTGTGGCAAAGTTTAAATTTACTCTCGAGTAAAAAAACACGAGTGCTGCCTCGAATAGCAATGCCGGTGGGAATTTTTAACTTTATATATTTGTACTAAATACAAGTGCCGTCTGTAACAGTCATCCCTGTTAGAATGTTTCAATATACTCATTGTTAACACAAGTGTTGTCTCGAACGGTCATGCTGGTTCGAATGTATAACTGATAATTTTGTACCAAATAGAAGTGCCGTCTGTAACGGACAAGCCTGTGGGTATGTTTCAGTTTACTCACTGTTACAAAACACAAGTAATGTCTCCAATTGTCATGCCGATGGGAATGTATAGCTGATAAATCTGTACCATATCCAAGTGCTGTCTTTAACCGCCAGGCCTGTGGAAACGTTTCAAATTATTCTCTGTGAGCAAACACAAGTGCTGACACGAATTGTGGTGCCGGTGGGAGTGTATAACTGATAATTTTTACTAAATACAAGTGCCGTCTGCAACAATCAGACCAATGAAATGTTACAATTTACTTTTAGTTACGAAAAACAAGTGTTGTCTGGAATTGTCATGTCGGTGGGAATAAATGAATTATAATTTTGTACCAAATAAAAGTATCTTCTGTCACAGTCAAGTCGGTGGGAATATTTGAATTTCCTCTCTTAAAAAACACAAGTGCTGTCTCTAATTATGTTTACTCTTTCTTTTTCATCTTCAATTTCTTTCTTTTCTTCATTTACTTAATGTCTTTTCTCTTTCCTTTTATTCTTCAATTTCTTTCTTTTATTCATTAAAATAATGTATTTTCTCTTTTTCTTCAGCTTCATTTTCTCCTTTTTCCTTCATTAAGCAAATATTTTTTCCTCTATGTATTAATGTCAGTTTCATTCTTTTCTTCATTAGCTAAATACCTTTTCTTTTTAATCCTCAATTTCATTCGTTTCTTCATTAACTAAATGTCTTTTCTTTTTTATCTTCAATTTCATTCTTTTCTTCATTAACTAAATACCTTTTCTTTTTCTTTTTATCTTCAATTTCATTCTTTTCTTCATTAAATGCCTTTTCTTTTGATCTTCAATTTCATTCTTTTCTTCATTAACTAAATACCTTTTCTTTTTCTTTTTATCTTCAATTTCGTTCTTTTCTTCATTAAATACCTTTTCTTTTTCATTTTTCCTTCAATTTTTTTTACCTTTTCTTCATTAACTAAATGACATTTCTCTTTTTTTTTCATCAACTAAATGTATTTTCTCTTTCTTTGTCGACTTCTGTTTCTTTCCTTTCTTCGTTTCCTTAATGTCTTTCTCCTTCTTTTTCATTTTCTATTTCTTTCTTTTCTTCATTAACTTAACCCCTTTCCTCTCTCTTTTCATTTACTTTCTTTTTTTTTACCTAAAAATTAGTTTCCTTTAGATTCGATTCACCATTTCTTTTTAGAGTTCCTTTTTTCTCTTCAACATTTCGACTTTTTCTCTTTAATTCTTCCTCTCCTGTCTCTATCCATTATCTTTCTAGCATCCATCTTTGCGATCACGTGACCAGCATTCGTTCCTTTCATTCAATTACGCGTTGATTCGTTAATTAATTTCACGTAAACCCAATTGCTTAACAATAGAAGGATACAATGGTCGAATGACCGCCATATTGAGAGACGCTAAATCCACAGAGAAGAGCACGTTATCCACTTCTCTCCCCTTTTCCTCTATCCCACTCTTTCTCTCATCGCTTTCTCTCTCCTCTCTCTCTTTTAGTAATCACTTTCTTTCTCGCTTCCACACTTGATCTCTCAGAATGACGTTTGCTTTGGTTACTTTTTTCCCTTAAACCGAATTCTCCTACCCTCTTCCTCTTACTTTCACTATACACACTTGCTTATATATATATATATACACAACATTAATATATATATATATATATATATATATATATATATATATATAACAACATCAAAAACAAAACGCCCTTGACAATAGCTAATGAAGTGACTGAAAGAGCTTGGGACAATGAAAAGTTTGGTAAATTTCTTTATTCCCTGACTTCTACAAAACGGAAAAACGTTAGGATACTGGAAAAATTAAATAAGAAATTAATTAAATTTTCCTTTCTTTAGTATTTAAAGAAAGATGTTTAAAATAATGTTTGCTGTCTAAATATACATTAATTTATACATATATAATGGATGTCAGTTATCTCCTGTTAATTCCCCTCTCCACTATCTTAACCGGGTAACGAACTCACACTCTTTGGGTCCTGTTACTGGATCTAACTAACGCCATTATCCACTGTGCCACGTGTCCTAGATCTAGAACGCTCTACCCCAGTGAGAAAAATAAAGGGTTCAGTTCGGCATTCCAGCCACCTGAAGAAGGCCGGAGCGTACAACGGCCGAATCGTTGTAATAAATTTGGCGACAAAGACGAGGACAATAGTCCGAATAATTTAAATAGTGATATAATTAATTTTCGCACTTATTTTATTGATGTTATAAGAGGATAGAATTTTAAAAAATTAAATTAATTAAATAAATGAAATTCTTTTAGCGCCGCCTTGATCTCAGTGGCTGTTAGACATGACGTCACGCTTGACAGTTTCAAACGCCCAGCTTCCTAAAAAATATCAGACAAAATAATTCTAATAATCGCACCATATCGTTTCTTTGCTAATTACTGCGACAGTCGAAAGTAGTTGAACAAAAATAATAAAATATGAACTTCGGACATTTTATCTACAACTTCCAGCACAATACTGGAGACATTTTATGAAAATTGAATAAATTCAATATAAAATTAAGCAGACATCTTAAGAGTGATATGCGATATTAAAATCGGGAAGATGATAGAGATTATATAAAGAGAGAAAGAGAGCAAGGAAAAAAAAAGGAGGAAATAAGGTAGAAAAAAATGGGAAAGAAAGAAAGAAAGAAAGATAGAAAGAACGGTTGCATTGTGAGTTCGACTGGTAGGTCAGCGAGTGATTTCTGTGGAGAAAGTTACTATTTTAAGGGTAATGAAGGAAATAACAAACGTAATCCCATTATCTATCTATCTATATATATCTATATATATATATATATATCTATATATATATATATATATATATATATATATATATATATATATGTTCGTTTCTATCAATCAATCTGCTCATATCTATCTATCTATCTATCTATCTATCTATCTATCTATCTATCTATCTATCTATCTATCTATCTCATTCTATTCCGATCTATCTATCTATCTATCTATCTATCTATCTCATTCTATTCCGATCTATCTATCTATCTATCTATCTATCTCATTCTATTCCGATTCATCTATCTATCTATCTATCTATCTATCTATCTATCTATCTATCTATCTATCTCATTCTATTCCGATCTATCTATCTATCTATCTATCTATCTATCTATCTATCTATCTATCTATCTATCTATCTATCTATCTCATTCTATTCCGATCTATCTATCTATCTATCTATCTATCTATCTATCTATCTATCTATCTCATTCTATTCCGATCTATCTATCTATCTATCTATCTATCTATCTATCTATCTGTTAATTTCTATCAATTAATCTGCTTAGATCTATCAATCAATCTATTTATCGATATCTATCTATCTCAATTTGATCATATCTATCTATCTGCTCATATCTATCAATCAATCAATCTGCTCATATCTATCTATCTATCTATCTATCTATCTATCTATCTATCTATCTATCTATCTATCTATCTATTCCGATCTATCTATCTATCTCTATCTATCTTGTGTTGCACCGGTCTTCCAATTAGGACTGACCTATATGCTTCTAAAATCAACATTTATCAAGTATCGTCAATTTACCTGACAGTGAACGCCAAATGACGACTACTTATGCCTGCGGAAAATATGCAATTATCTTTCACCACACACACTCACACACTCACACGCGCACACGCGCATGCACACACACATATCATCGGAAAGAAGATAATTTTCTGAGGAAAATCATATTGAATTTTTTTAGGAAGTCATATGGCGAGACACGGGAAACGCTGGTTAACAGATGAACAGATTGATCGGACTGTTCAAATTTCCGAATGTTTGGTAAGCACATGGGATAGATAGATAGATATGAACAGAGAATAGATAGATAGATAGCTAGATAGATAGCTAGCTAGCTAGATAGATAGATAGATTTGTTTTCTACGTTTTACCAAAAATTTGAAGGTTATAAAGTACCAGAAAACTTTTTATTTAGATTCTAATATAATTCTTTTCTTAAAGATAATAAATAACAATGTTTTAATATAGCTGAGGGTTTCATACTTTACCCGATTAATATGTGAGTCATTATCCTTTACATGTGCATCTATGCTTACTGCACCTAGTATTGCCAAGCGGTCACCCATATAAGTACTGAGCGGGCTTGACATTGCTTAACTTCACTGATCGTACGGGAACTGCTACGTGAATGTGATGTGGCCGTAGGCAGGCAGAGAGAGAGAGAGAGAGAGAGAGAGAGAGAGAGAGAGAGAGATAGAAATAGACTGAGAGAGATAGATAGAGATGGGAGAGAGCGATCAACGGGCTGACATGGATATAAGCGGCTGACGATTGCGCCTAGCATGAAACAGCCTGTCGCCTCTAAGTGTTAACTTCAATGTTCATTTATATATATATATATATATATATATATATATGGACTGAGATAGCTAGATAGATAGATATTGAGAGAGATATATATCAACGTACTGAGATAGATAGATAGATAAATAGATAGATAGATAGATAGATAGATAGATAGATAGATAGATAGTAAACATTATGAGATAGATAGATAGTAAACATGATGAGATAGATAGATAGATAGATAGATAGATAGATAGATAGATAGATAGTAAACATTATGAGATAGATAGTAAACATTATGAGATAGATAGATAGATAGATAGATAGATATGAACAGACTGAAATAGATAGATAGATAGATAGATAGATAGATAGATAGATAGATAGATAGATAGATAGATAAACAGGGTAAGATTGTGTGAGATAGATAGATAGTAAACATTATGAGATAGATAGATAGATAGATAGATAGATAGATAGATAGATAGATAGATAGTAAACATTATGAGATAGATAGATAGATAGATAGATAGATAGATAGATAGATAGATAGATAGATAGATAGATAGATATGGGTTTGTGCCTATTAGTATTATTTTCTTCTTTCCCCTTACAATAAACTAACATCACTTACTGACCGATCTGCCGAACTCATACTGCTACTGTTTTCAGGTTCCTTCCTTCCTTCCTTCCTTCCTTCCTTCCTTCCTTCCTTCCTTCCTTCCTTCCTTCCTTCCTTCCTTTTCTTTCTTTTTTTTTTTTCTTTTCTCTCGTTTTTATTTTAATATTTACCTTGATTATTCCTTTTCTTTTCTCCTCTCTCTCTCTCTCTCTCTCAGTAATCTCCATCACGCACCTAATCTATGCCGAGTAAACTAACTCATCGATCAGGTATATTCTCGGGCAACTAGCCACACCTTCTCATTTCAAGGCAAGTTAGCAGGCCGCTTAACAGTGACACCTGGAGGAATCTATATACAAGGCTTGTTCCATAACACGGTAAGTCTATCGACTCACACACACATTCGAATATATATATATATATATATATATATATATATATATATATATATATAAACAAGGGAAAAATTAAAATATGTTTGTAAACAAAAAAATAAAACCTTATTTTCATAGATACAAGAAACGCGCCATAATGAAAGTAACATTTATCGACAGAATTTGAAAATAAGGTGCAAAAAAAAGAAAAAGAAAAGAAAAAAAAATTCAATTCAATCACATAAAATCGAATCTTATCACTGAAATAAAAAAAAAAAGAAGTGTGTTATTTTTTTAGCTGTTTGGAAAATAACAGTCGCGTGGACATTTTTATACGATCAATTTTTTACGAGTGTTGTCACTGGAAATATTCACATCAATGTTAAGTTAATATTGTTTAATTGACTGGTCGGTCCGAAGCACAAATGGCACAGTACAGCATTAGCTGTAATTTCATTAGGATTACAGTTCATATCGACACTGGGGGGTCTTGCGTTTGTTGTTTGAAAAATAAGTGACAACAAGCCTTTTTTTTTAATTACGAACAACTTCTCATGTATTCATTCTTTTTCTTCTTCCTCTTCTTCCACCTTTTTCTTCTTCTTTTTCTCTTTCCTCTTCTTCTTTTACTCTTCTCTCCCGCCTTTTCCTTATTCTTCTTCTTCATCTTTTATTCCTTCTTTCTTCCTTCTTTTTCTCCTCCACCTGCTCCCTTTCCTTCTTCATATTTTCCTCCTCCTCCTTCTTTCTTCTCTACTTTTCGTCTTCTTCATTTTTTCTCACTCCTCCTCCCCCTGCTTCCCCTTCTTCTTCTTCTTCTTCTTCTTCTTCTTCTTCTTCTTATTATTATTATTTTGTTAGAGGTATCTTGTAGCTTTTACTAACGGCCAAATGGTAGCAAATTTCCTAAATTAATCATTATTATTATTATTGTTGTTTTTGTTGCTGTTGTTGAGTGGGAAAAGAAGAACATCAACAAAACGACTTTGAGATACATATATACGGAACCCACCCATCATGAAACCGAGTCAGATAAGAGTATACGGAGTACATGCATCGCAGCCAAATATTCGCGTTATGGTGACAGGTTTTGATAAACGCATCCCATATCTCTGATTGAGACACCAGCACCTTCCACAGTATCTTAGCAGCTCCCAGTTTAGACAGTTTCAACTAAAATTTTAAATTCATTCACTTTTGATTCTAATGCTTCGATACTGTTCCAAGTGTGCTAATTATTATAAGGACGACCGTCGGCTTCATGTTTCATTTTATTTTTTATTTGCATCATTGCAGCAGGGATGTGGTTATTGTTGGAGATCGAATGACAGCAAGTCTCTCCAAATTCCAAGCACCTTCCGCAGTATTCCCGTTAACTGAAACACTGCTATAATCTGGATAGTTTTTAATTAATGGCGAGACTAAATTTTATTTCGCCTCCACAGCAAATATCTAGAAAACGAGATTTTACCATCACAAAATGACCCTTAACAATAAGCTATATGCAAATGTCACGGCACTCTCTAAATTTTACTGGGATATTAAACAGATGATTACACATCCGGTAGTAAACCGAAATTTCGTCGCTAAAACTACACCTTTTTTCGGCTGCGGCGACCGATGCAATCTGTGTTTTTTGGAAAAAAAGGTTCATCCTCAAAGATATTAATGATCGAAATCTACTTAATAAACGTAATTAACTCATGTTAGCTTGTAATTAGAGAAAAAAAATCTCTCTTAAAATATTTTAATTCTGGATAAAAATATTATCCAAATATCACATGCCTTTCCCATATTTTAAGTTACATATTGATTACTCCCCTTTAACCATTTTAACGTCTATTATTACTTAACGGGTTACCCGGCGTTCTTCTAGTAAACTGCCGTTTTTTTTAATTGTTTTTTTTTTCAATAGCCCCAACCTACACACTATTTTCTGTATTCACACCCGAATATTATATTTAGATTCTTTTAAATTAGAGTTCTTTAAATTTAGCATTCCTTTCATGAGATCCAGTATATTTTTTATTATTTTTTTAAATCAAAAGTAATAATTCGTGCCTGATGAGTTGGTAGAACAACGAAACTTAAGTTATACTCGAATGTAGGTATATATATATATATATATATATATATATATATATATATATATATATATATATATATATATACACTACGTGCCAAATTATTATCGAGATAACTTTTTCTAATATTTCAAAAACCGTATAATCAATTCACACAAAATTTTCACAGAATGTTGGTAACACTGACCTGCGCAATCACTGAAATTTTCGAATATATCTGCGCAATGTAAACAAACTGGGGTCATATTTGTTATCAGCACGGTGATTTGAGCGTGCCAAATTATTAGAAAGGTTTAGTAAAATTCCCAGAATTGAGCAAACAAAACGTTTATTAATGTTGCACGTGAATGTTTATGATCAAAAGAAGCTAATAAATAAGATAATCAAACAAATAATAACAGATACAAACAAAGGCACAGTTTTAAACAAATTAATAGGGAATGTGCTTTCCCTGTTTTGAAATTACTTGAAGAAGTCGACGATCCATAGAATTTGTTAATTGTAGGATGTCATTGCTTCCCACAACTCAGCGTTTCTCCTAAATTGTTGCCCGTTAGCGTACAGTCTTCGCTTCATGATGCTCCAAAGGTTTTCGATTGGGTTCAAATCCGGAGAATTTGCTGGCCACTTCATTTTTCGAGGTCCATCGAAGCCTAACTGTTTCAAATATTTAGTAGTCTTGTGAGCAGCATGTGAGGGGGCATTATCTTGCATAAAAACAATGGCCCTTCTGAAGGCAACTCTTTGCTTTTTCATCCACGGCTCAAGATGCTCCTTCATAAATGCTATGTATGCATCAGCGGTCATTTCGACGCCATCTGGTACTCTCCATGGACCCACTAATGTTTTTTCAATAATACCACCCTAGATCATTATGCCTCCACCCCCTTGTTGGCGTCCCAAACGCTGATGGCGATTCTGTCCGTTCATTACCCAGGCTTTGCACCATCTACCTGGCCCATCAAATGTTGCTCGAGTTTCGACTGTGAACAAAACTTTAGAGAAGTCAATCTTCATATTGTCCTCGGCCCATTTCAATCGATTTTGAATGTGATTTTTCGTCAACGGAGGCTTCGATACAGGTTTGACTGTTGTTACTATATCCCTCAGATACCGACACCGAGTACTTTTCGACTCAGTAGGATTCCCAATGCGACTGAAAAGCTCTTGACTGGTAAGTCCAGAGTTCTTCGTGGCCTCTCGTTTAAGTCGTGACATGAGACGACGTGAAATAACCCTCGGCTTGCCTTTACCTGCATTTTTGCGTACTTGTGTAGGGTCGGCGGTAAAATTTTTCACTGTTTGATGACACCTCCCTATCATTTTAGAAATTTCTACGGTAGATTTACCTTTTGAGAGTGCTAAGGTGATAGTTTTCTTTTTAGCATCATTAAACTGCTTTCACGGCCCATCTTTTCACTAAATTCTTACACTTTTCTAATAATTTAGCACGCTCAAATCACAGTGCTGAAAACAAATATGGCGCCAGTTTGTTTACATTGCGCAGACCAGTACGAAAATTTCAGTGATTGTGCAGGTCAGTGTTGCCAACATTGTGTGAAAATTTTGTGTGAATTGATTGGACGGTTTTGAAATATTAGAAAAAAGTTATCTCGATAATAATTTGGCAGGTAGTGTATATATATATATATATATATATATATATATATATATATATATATATATATACTGGTTTTAATTCAGTATATCTCTATATTTCTGAGATGAGGTATTATGTACACTATTTACATTATTCGGGCTATTGCCCTCATCTTTGTTGCCATATTTATCACAACGTTTCGGCCGTTGTACGCTCCGGCCTTCTTCAGGTAGTTGGAATGTTGAACTGAAACCTTTATTTCGCTCACTGGGGTAGACTGTTCTAGTTCCAAGTGCCATGTCTAATGGATATCAGTTATCTCCTGTTAATTCCCCTCTCCAAGTTCTCCACTGCCTTAACCAGGTATTGAACTCACACTGTTTGCGTCTTGTCACTTGATCTAACTAACGTCTTTATCCAATGTGCCGTGTGTCCTTGAGGAAATTTATATTAAAGGAACCAAAGTTCAAAACCTGGTTAAGTCGGTGGAGAAATTGAGAGGGGAATTAACAGGAGATAACTGATAAATGACATCCATTAGAAGGGGCGAAAACGTTGTAATAAATATGGAACTAGAACAGTGAGCAAATAAAGGGTTCAGTTAGACGAGATACCAGAAACCTGTAATAAAAAGCAACAAAGATGGGGAAAGTCTGAATAATGTAAAACGGCCGAAACGTCATCCCAAAAATATGGCAACAAAGAGGAGAACAATAGTCTGAATAATGTAAATAGAGTGCATAATACCACGTCACAGAAATATAGACAGATACTGAAGGACCGAAACGTTGTAATAAATATGGTGACAATGATGAGGACAATAGTCCGAATAATGTAAATAGTGTACATAATACCTCATCTCAGAGATATAGACAGATACTGAAAGGCCTAAACGTTGTAATAAATATGGCAACAAAGATAAGGAAAATTGTCCGAATAATGTAAATAGTGTACATAATACCTCATCTCAGAAATATAGACAGATACTGAAAGGCCGAAACGTTGTAATAAGTATGGCAACAAAGATGAGGACAATAATCCGAATAATGTAAATAATGCACATAATACCTCATCCCCGAAATATAGACAGATACTGAAAGGCCGAAACGTCGTAATAAATATAGCAACAATGATGGGGACAATAGTCTGAATAATGTAAATAGTGTACATAATACGTAATCCCAAAATATAGACAGATACTGAAAGGCCGAAACGTCGCAGTAAATATGGCAACAATGATGGGGACAATAGTCTGAATAATGTAATTAGTGTACATAATACCTCATCTCAGAAATATAGACAGATACTGAAGGGCCGAAACGTTGTCATAAATATGGCGACAAAGATGAGGACAATAGTTAGAATAATGTAAATAATGTACATAATTCCTCATACCCGAAATATAGACAGATACTGAAAGGCCGAAACGTTGTAATAAATATGGCAAAAATGATGGGGACAATAGTCTGAATAATGTAAATAGTTTACATAATACATCATCTCAGAAATATAGACAGATACTGAAGGGCCGAAACGTTGTAATAAATATGGCGACAAAGATGAGGACAATAGTCAGAATAATGTAAATAGTGTACATAATACCTCATCTCAGAAATATAGAAATGTATTGAAGGGCCGAAACTTTGTAATAAATATGGCAACAATGATGGGGACAATAGTCTGAATAATGTAAATAATATAAATAATTCCTCATCCCCGAAATATAGACAGATACTAAAGGGCCGAAACTTTGTAATAAATATGGCAACAATGATGGGGACAATAGTCTGAATAATGTAAATAGTGTACCTAATACCTCATCTCAGAAATATAGACAGATACTGAAGGGCCGAAACTTTGTAATAAATATGGCGACAAAGATAAGGACAATAGTCAGAATAATGTAAATAATGTACATAATTCCTCATCCCCGAAATATAGACAGATACTGAAAGGCCGAAACGTTGTAATAAATATGGCAAAAATGATGGGGTCAATAGTCTGAATAATGTAAATAGTGTTCATAATACTTCATCTCGGAAATATAGACAGATACTGAAGGGCCGAAACGTTGTAATAAATATGTCAACAATGATGAGGACAGTAGTCTGAATAATGTAAATAGTTTACATAATACGTCATCTCAGAAATATAGACAGATACTGAAGTGCCGAAACGTTGTAATAAATATGGCGACAAAATGAGGACAATAGTCCGAATAATGTAAATAATGTATATAATTCCTCATCCCCGAAATATAGACAGATACTGAAAGGCCGAAACGTTGTAATAAATATGGCAAAAATGATGGGGTCAATAGTCTGAATAATGTAAATAGTGTACATAATACCTCATCTCAGAAATATAGACAGACACTGAAAGGCCGAAACGATGTAATAAATATAGCGACAAAGATGAGGCCAATAGTCAAAATAATGTAAATAATATACATAATTCCTCATCCCCGAAATATAGACATATACTGAAAGGCCGAAACGTTGTAATAAATATGGGAACAATGATAGGGATAATAGTCTGAATAATGTAAATCGTGTACATAATTCCTTCATCCCCGAAATATAGACAGATACTGAAGGGCCGAAAGATTGTAATAAATATGGCAACAAAGATGAGGACAATAGTCTGAATAATGTAAATAGTGTACATAATACCTCATCTCAGAAATATTGACAGATACTGAAAGGCCGAAACGTTGTAATAAATATGGCGACAAAGATGAGGACAATGGTTCGAATAATGTAAATAATGTACATAATTCCTCATCCCCGAAATATAGACAGATTCTGATAGGCCGAAACGTTGTAATAAATAAGGCAACAATGAAGGGGACAATAGTCTGAATAATATAAATAGTGTACATAATACCTCATCTCAGATATATAGACAGATACTGAAGGGCCGAAACTTTGTAATAAATATGGCGACAAAGATGAGGACAATAGTCCGAATAATGTAAATAGTGTACCTAATACCTCATCTCATAAATATAGACAGATACTGAAACGGACGAAACGTTGTAATTAAATATGGCGACAAAGATGAGGACAATAGTCCGAATAATGTAAATAGTGTACATAATACCTCATCTCAGAAATATAGACAGATACTGAAAGGCCGAAACGTTGTAATAAATATGGCGACAAAGATGAGGACAATAGTCCGAATAATGTAAATCGTGTACATAATACTTCATCTCGGAAATATAGACAGATACTGACAACAATGATCGGGACAATTTTGCATATAAGGAAACGGATAATATTAATATTACCTTTAGATACGTGGCGAACAGATCCCAGCCCGAATAACAGATAGCGAAGAAAGGGGTAACTTGAATAGCAGTGGTTGCTCGGCCAATGAATGGCGAATATTTGCATATAAGGAAACGGATAATATTAATAATACCTTTAGATACGTGAACAGATCCCAACTTGAATGACAGATCCCTTGAATAGCAGTGGTTGCTCGGTCAATGAATGTCGAATATTTCCATCGAAAAAATTGGATTACTCGAATAGTGGCGAATTGCTGGCCGAATCAGAATGAAGAAAATGGTAACTCTAATAGCTTGGTTACTCGGTCAATGAATGTCGAATGTTTGCATATAAACGGATAATATTAATATTACCTTTAGATATGTGGCGAACAGATCCCTGCGCGAATGACAGATAGCGAAAAAGAGGCAACTCTAATAGCAGTGGTTACTCGGTCAATGAATGTCGAATTTTTGCATATAAGGAAACGGATAATTTTAATATTACCTTTAGATATGTGGCGAACATATCCCTGTCCGAATGACAGATAGCGAAGAAAGGGGTAACTTGAATAGCAGTGGTTGCTCGGTCAATGAATGTCGAATATTTGCATATAAGGAAAAGGATAATATTAATATTACCTTTAGATACGTGGCGAACAGATCCCAGCCCGAATGACAGATAGCGAAGAAAAGGGTAACTTGAATAGCAGTGGTTGCTCAGTCAATGAATGTCGAATGTTTGCATCTAAGGAAACATATAATATTAATATTACATTTAGATATGTGGCGAATAGATCCCTGGCCGAATGACAGATAGCGAAGAAAGAGGTAACTCGAATAGCAGTGGTTACTCGCTCAATGAATGTCGAATGTTTGCATATAAGGAAACGGATAATATTAATATTACCTTTAGATATGTGGCGAACAGATCCCTGCCCGAATGAAAAATAGCGAAGAAAGGGGTAACTTGAATAGCAGTGGTTGCTCGGTCAATGAATGTCGAATGTTTCCATCTAAGGAAACGGATAATATTAATATTACCTTTAGATATGTGACGAACAGATCCCAGCTTGAATGACAGATACGAAGAAAGGGGTAACTTGAATAGCAGTGGTTACTCGCTCAATGAATATCGAATGTTTGCATATAAGGAAACGGATAATATTAACAATACCTTTAGATATGTGACGAACAGATCCCAGCTTGAATGACAGATAGCGAAGGAATCGGATAATATTACCATTACCCTTAATGCTGAGGAGAACAGATAGTACACTTCCTATTCATTCGCATTCCCCTCCATATAATGACGAGATATAACACAAAGTTAATTTAAAGTGGTTGGTGTTGATATTCCACCCCTCCCCTCTTTGGTGCTATAAGGGAAGTCCTGTCACTGACTTCGAATCTCCGGGACCAATTTAAAGATAAAAAAAAAAATGTAGTTTGTCCGCTGTAGGTTAGGTACTATACTTTGATCTCAGCGCGATGGCCAGGGAATGAAGAAAGCGTAACTCGGTCAATGATTGTTGAATGTTTTCTTATAAGGAAATGCCTAATGTTACCGTTATAATCATTGTTATAATTTTTAATCATAATATTTTTACGTCTTAACTTGCACTGGAGATCATGCGACAGTAAATCTCGTTACTCCAAAATACTACTTGATATCCAATTTCATTTTAATCATGATACTCTATGGAGGGTCCTAATTCTTCCCCGTGTTGTTAATTATTGCATTACTTTGGCAAAGGTCTTAGAGATTGCTCTGAGCACTCTGATAATGATGGGTAATGTTACAGAATGCGAAGGCCAGGGCCAGAATGGCCAGCGATTGCCTGGAGTGCCTCGTGGGCGGGACATTCTGACAGTGATGGATTGCTTTTGTCTGGGTTTTGAACATAGGTCCAAAACGGCGCGAATTCAACAGAAGGTCTCAAGAATTCTGAAACGTCGGTATGCCTCCCACAACGTGGAGGAACGATGAATCAACGTGCAACATATGTTCCTATCACGTTAGTCCTACTACTGCCTCTTAAAATCCAAACTGGCGGGTTTAATAAAACGAATACCAAAAATAAGTGACCCTTTCCGTTGTTACCGTTTTATGTAATAGCGTGGAGATCCAGAGACGACACAGACCGCAACAATTTCTGTGGTTTTTTCCGTCAAGAGCCAGATAAGTTTTCAGTTTAACTTATTCCTGCATTTTTACTATTTATCTGATTGAACGGCGATATATTTAATCTGACACATTTCTGGATTTGGTCTCCTAACCTGGATTGGATGATAGGTTCAAATTCAAAAGTCGCAAAGAATTTTACTTTTTTATGTTTCAATTTTTGCGACAGATTCTGCCTTGTGATTAGAATATTGGTTATATCTTCTTCTTCTTCTTCTTCTTCTTCTTCTTCTTCTTCTTCTCTTCCACCTCCCCATTCTTCTTCTTCTTCTTCTTCTTCTTCTTCCACCTCCCCATTCTTCTTCTTCTTCTTCTTCTTCTTCTTCTTCTTCTTCTTCTTCTTCTTCTCTTCCACCTCCCCATTCTTCTTCTTCTTCTTCTTTATTTTTTTTCAACTTTCGATTTTCTTCTTTTACTTCTTTCATTCCTCTTTTTTCGTCTAGACTCTCGACCTCACATTATTCTTATCCTCTGCATTTCTTCTTCTTCTTCTTCTACTTCTTCTTCTTCTTTTTCATCTTGTGGTCTAGTTATTCCTATTTTTTTTTTGTTTTTCTTCTTTCTTTCGTTTTTCTTTTGCTTCTTCTTCACCTCTTCTGTTTCATTCTTCTTTTTTGTCTGGAACTGTTATTCCTATCCTCTGGATGTCTTTTTCTTTTCTTCTTCTTCTTCTTCTTCTTCTTCTTCTTCTTCTTCTTCTTCTTCTTCTTCGTATTATTATTATTATTTCTTTAATTATTAGTTCTTTATCGTCTAGAGCACGTGTTAATCCTGTCCTTTATATTTCTCTTTCTTTCGTTTTTCTTCTGCTTCTTTTTCTTCTTTCGTTTTTCTTTTTCTTTTTTTCATCTTCAGTCTCTGTTTTTCTTTTTCGTCTAGAGTTCGTGTTATTGCTCTCCACCTGGGATATTTCTTCTTTCTCTTCTTTTTTTCTTTTTTTTCTTCTTATTTCGTTCTTTATCGTCTAGAGCACTTGTTATTCCTGCCCTTTATAGTTCTTCTTCTTCTTCTTCTTCTTCTTCTTCTTCTACTGTTGCTGCTACTGCTGTTGCTTCAGTTATTCATCATTTCGTTATGAAAATTTAAATTTCTTTTATATTCACACATTGCCTGAGAAAACATCAAGAAAGTAAAATGTGATTATATATTTACGAACAGGTAAAATTAACTGGAAAGGCCTTGTGAAAAGACCCACGTGGCTTTTTCACTGCTGCTGCTGATGTCCTAAAAGCTTCTCATTATATTTCTCGACCTTAGCTGCAAGGCACGAGTTTGTTTTGCTTTGCCTTGGCTTAGCTTAATTCTCGCAAAAGGCAAGTATGCATGACCCACTGCGGATCGAACATATGACGCTGTAGTAATGTTTAAACAATTAATTGCTAATTAAAGCACAACTCTTTTAGGGTTTTAATGTTACTACTTAGAAAATTAATACTACAACATCAACAATTTAATTATGGGTTCCCCCCACACATATATATATATATATATATATATATATATATATATATATATATATATATGGTGGACTCTCCCGTCGTATTCGACGCATGAGGGTCAAGCAGCTCAGTTTCTAGGAACCGACAGCCAGACACCAGCACGTATGATTTGATTTAAGTGGTGAAGCCTTTATACAGAACTAACTACGCTTTTTGGAGGTACGGTGGAGTAGTGGATAGCGGCTCGGATTGAGGAATCGGGGAGCTGTGTTCGAATTCCAGTCGCATCGATTACATTCACTTACGTACTAATAGCCTTGGGGAAGGTACTAATTCATTTCTTTAGAAATAGCAGGACAGACTGGGTTCTATAGCCTTTGATGGCAACTGATCTAGGAGAAGGACAACTCTGAATTCAAAACCTGCGTTTGGAGACCATGTGGCACGTAGTGCACCCGGTCTCTTTATTCGGCCCAATATATATATATATATATATATATATATATATATATAGCTCCCGTATATAGGGACAATTGCGTGTTTACAAAAATCACCATCATAACTATTTCAGTTACATTAAATTTGTATTCACCCCTGAGGATCATTTCGTAGGAGATCGAAAGTATTTGGGTTAACAAAAACTACGGCACCTTCCTTGATGAAAATAATTTACATATATATATATATATAAGTAACGAAAATCTTGGTAATCCGTATGGATAATCTCAAGGGGGATGAAATCCTGAGAGCTCAATTTTAAGCGAGAGCTAATAATTTAATTTAAAGAAAAACAGACCACTTTAAGGCTCCATTAGTTATAATTTATTTCACCAGAGAATTTTATTTCTCTCTGGATCTTCACACTTCACTTTAAAGGTGAAACGAAAAAATGAATTTAAAATTTACACTTTTGACGGACAGTATTAAGCTTATATAAGTGATGAGGAATAGTGTGAGAGACATGGTCGAGTTTAGAGAGGGATGGGAGAGCTTTAAAATTTATTTTTGTTTTTATTACAATACTTAATATTGAGGAGGAGGGTTTTATATATATATATATATATATATATATATATATATATAAATTTCACTCAATCTGAAAATAATTCACGTAAAAATGTGACAAACTGGAAAATTTCATAATAGATGAATCGCGTCACAAGAAATTTTCCTGTTTGTCATATTTTTCTAAAGACTGTTGATGTATAAGGTTATACAAATTACATATCATTATCTCATATATATATATATATATATATATATATATATATATATATATATTGATCTATAATCATAATTTAATACTTAATCTTTAATTCGAGAGTCATCTGTTGTTTATCAAACAGATGTGTTTACGTGTTTCTTCATGGTAATCCATCCGTCAGGTGATTTTTATTGGATTTATATATATATATATATATATATATATATATATATATATATATATATGCTGGCAGCATATTTACATTCAAACATGTTTCATTGAATAATGTAGACATATTATGTCTATTTATTTTTATAATAATCCTTTCTAGTTCTCTAATTATCTTCTTGATATTAAGTTGAAATGCATCAAGGAAGGCGCCGTAGTTTTTATTAACCCAAGTACTTTCGATCTCCTCCGAGATCCTCAGAGCTGAATGGCGAAGACAAACTTAATGTAACTGTGATCATTGTGATGGAGACTTTTTTAATAAAACTCAATGTTCCGTTATACAAAACTGACAAGGTACTTTTGTTTGTTCTTTTTTTTTTTTATTATATTTTCTTGTAAGCTCACAAGTGTTCTTTTCTGGACATTATGAGTGCAAAAATTAGCCCAAAGTTTGTTGATTCCGAGCGCTTTCGTTTAAACTATTAACCCTTTTCACACGATAATAATTATGTTGGATACATCATCACCCACCTGTTAAAATGCCTGACTCTACATCTCTCTGACCAGAGCTCCATACGAACATATTCATACCATTATGTAATTGTACTGGATACGCAACATATCGAGAACACGGATGGGATACGGACGTCCAACAGCAAAAAAAGCGTTTTGAAAATGATCGAAGCTTTTATTATTAAAAAAAGGCCAACCTTTAATAACGTGAAATAGCAACACGACCGCAATGTAATGGCCGTATTCAGAGATTTGTCCACTTTCAGCCACTTTTATTCTTTTATACTTTCTACAATAGCTCTTACTCGCTATAATAATATAAAAGTTTTTGAAAATAATATATATATATATATATATATATATATATATATATATACAAGCAGTTGCCCGGGGATATAACAGTAAGAGATAGATCAAGTATCGACCATCATAAAGACTGAAAAATAAAATTGACAAAGATTATTGTTTAAGGTTGACGGACACGCATGTCTTAATTATTTTTTTTTTTTTTTTTTTTTTTTTTACGAATTGGTCAAACTCAAACAAAAACATTGTTTTCAATCGTTATGAGTCTCCCGATTGAATAGAATAATTTTATAAACAATTGTCTTGTAAATGGAATTTTTAAAGCATTCTGAATGTAAAAATAAAGAAAAAAAGTGTGCAAGAGAATAAGAAACACTACCTGCCCCCCCGTGAAGTTTTGTTTTATCGGCTGAAAAATATAGGAAATCCGCTCCCATATTTAAAGGAACCCGCACACACACAAACAACCCGATGTGAGTTGTCCCCCTTCCATTTTCACGATGTCTCTTAATCGTGTTTTCAAATTGATTTTGTGCAAAAACAATTGTATTTTTCCCATTTTGGGCGCTGTTAGAACCACCACAAGGTAATTTTATGCAGTCCTGTGAAGTTTTGTTGATATCGGTTGAAAAATGTAGGAAATCCGATCCAATATATAAACGTTACAGATACACACACACACAATCTGCGTTTTATAATAAGTAAGATATATATATATATATATATATATATATATATATATATATATATATATATATATATATATATATAGATAATGATATATAATTTTGTATAATTTTATACATCAACAGTCTTGAGAAAATATGACAAACATTACTTGTGAAGCATTTCATCTATTATGAAATTTTCCAGTTTGTCATAATTTTATATATTTTTATGGGAACAGGTTAGCATCTCAAGTTACTTCTGGGAACAGATTGAGATCTCAAATTACTTCTGGGAACAGGTTAGCATCTCAAGTTACTTCTGGGAACAGGTTAGTATCTCAAGTTACTTCTGGGAACAGATTGAGGTCTCAAATTACTTCTGGGAACAGGTTACCATCTCAAGTTACTTCTGGGAACAGATTGAGGTCTCAAATTACTTCTGGGAACAGGTTACCATCTCAAGTTACTTCTGGGAACAGATTGAGGTCTCAAATTACTTCTGGGAACAGGTTACCATCTCAAGTTACTTCTGGGAACAGGTTAACATCTCAAGTTAATTCTGGGAATAGGTTAGCATCTCAAGTTACTTCTGAAAACATGTTAGCATCTCAAGTTAATTGTGCGAATAGGTTAGCATCTCAAGTTACTTCTGGAACATATTTGGATCTCAAATTACTTCTGGGAACAGGTTAGCATCTCAAGTTACTTCTGGGAACAGATTGGGATCTCAAATTACTTCTGGGAACAGGTTAGCATCTCAAGTTACTTCTGGGAACAGGTTAGTATCTCAAGTTACTTCTGAAAACATGTTAGCATCTCAAGTTAATTCTGCGAATAGGTTAGCATCTCAAGTTACTTCTGGATACAGTTTAGCATCTCAAGTTCCTCCTGGGAACAGGTTAGTATCTCAAGTTACTCCTGGGAACAATTTAGCATCTAATAGTTTAGCCGACAGCGCTCGGATTCAGCAAACCTTTGGACAAACCACAACAGAAGTATTCCAACTTAAAGGCTCGAAGTTGACTTCAGGCCAGGGAGACCTCCGCCCAGCGAAACCCTGTCATCACTGCACTGTCTGCGTCCATAGCTATGGAGCCCTATCTATCCCATTGAACAAGATAGCTGTTGATTCCACAAGAATGTTTATCCATCTTTTGATGTTTTGTTTTTAATTCGTTTAAATGTCAAGTCAATGTCCTCACCAGAAATGCCTGTCGGGAAAACCAGTTCGCCGATAATGCGACCATTGAACAGATATTATTATGTTATCATGGTACCAGTTGCATTCATAGAGGGAACTGATATAAAGATAGACATAATTCATTTAATTCGGAGAAGAATAAAACGGTTGGGTATTCAATTCTCGAAATTCATGCTATATTTTATCATTATATTTATAATTTATCAGTTAATCAAAACTTATGACGGATAAAATATACTGCAGGTAGTGTAGCGGTTACCGCCGCTGATAGTGGAATCGGTATGTCGAGTTCAATTTCCAACCGAGGTTGTTATTTTCACTTTTGCACAAATAACCTCAGAAAGGCATGAACCCATCCCTTCTCCCAACATATATGGACTAAACAGGAAGCTATACAGGACTCTTTATTATTTGATTTGCCCTTATTCTTGACGACTTATCAATCTTTTCGAGGTTATTTTAAAGCTAGAAAATATTTTTAGATTGTAAGAAGTTTTTGGGGGTATTAAAGATTCACTGATACAAGTACTGGACTCTTTAGTTTTGGCTGCCAACTAGTCTAGGAGAAGAAAAGTTTGAATTTA